TTGCTCTTCTCGAGGAGTATCTTTGTGGCATTCTCTGTATTTCCTGAATTTGAATGTTGGCCTGCCTTACTAGGTTGAGGAAGTTCTCCTGGATGGTATCCTGCAGAGTGTTTTCCAACTTGATTCCATTTTCCCTGTCACTTTCAGGCACACCAGTCAGACGTAGATTTGGTCTTTCCACATAATCCCATACTTCTTGCAGGCTTTGTTCATTTCTTTTTACTCTTTTTTCTCCATGTGTCTCTTCTCGCTTCATTTCATTTATTTGATCTTCAATCTCTGATACTCTTTCTTCTAGTTGATTGAGTCGGTTACTGAAGCTTGTGCATTTGTCACGTATTTTCTCGTGTTATGGTTTTCATCTCTGTCAGTTCTTTTAAGGTCTTCTTTGCATTGATTATTCTAGTTATCCATTCATCCATTCTTTTTTCAAGGTTAAAGTTTCCCTGTGCTGGTTACGTAGTTCCTCCTTTAAGTTACGACAGTTTGATCGACTGAACTATCTAATCTCCTCAACTTGTACAAGTCATTCATCCCATCCAAGCTTCTGTTTCCGTTGCCTGGTGTGAGCTCATATCCTTGAGGGGGAAGATGTGTTCTGATATTTCTTGAAACTTTCCAAGCTTTTCTGCCATAGCTTTTACCACCATCTTGGTGGTTTCTAATGCATGCCTACTTGGCTTCTTTGAATGATAGTGAGGGTACAAGCATGAGAAGTTTTGGGGGGTGTACCTTTCTGTTTGTTAGCTTTCTCGTTCTAACAGGTCATCAGACACATCAGCTTAAGAATCTGATTGGAATTTGCTTGAGGTCACACTCAAGACCACTGTTTGCCTGGGTATAAAAGCAGCAGCGGCTGCAGAAGATAGAATCCATATTGCGCAAGCACAAGAGTAAAGTTGCTGCTCTGGATTCTTGCTCTGATGAAGACTTCGTCTGAGGGTTCGAACCCGCCTGTAGTGAGTGGTGAGGTTGGTAGTCTGCACCTAGTAGGCAGGGATCGTCTCACCAGTATAGGCTACTGCAGGAGGCAGGGACCTCACTTACAGCCAAGCAGTCTTGTCCGTTCTCAGATCTCAGCCTCTGTGCGCTGGGAAGATCCACTGCTCTCTTCAAAGCTAGTCAGACAAGGGGAATTTACACTTTGCCAAGAGTTCTTCTGCTTTTTGTTTGCTAATGACCCTGTCCCCAGGAGAGGGGAGTCTACAAGAGGCAAGGGCAGGACCTCCTTGAGAACTAGTGGATAGGGCCTCTACACCAGTTACGAGCTTCCTGGTGGCATTTGTTTACCATAACTTCAGCTCAGCAATGGCGAGGCGCCCTCCCCAGCCTCACTTGCTCCTTGGCCAGTTAAGATCTACAGACTGCTGTCTATCATGAAGGAGGACATTCCGATGGGCGTGGACCCTCTTGGGCTAGGTGTGGGATATAATCCTCCTCGGCGTGCCGGTTTGCTAAAGACCCTTGGTAACAGTAGCAGTATTAGGGTGGGGAGTTACCCGATTTTCCACAGGTGTAATCTTGTTTGTCTCAATTTCCCATTGAGCTAGGAAAAGGGATTCCCTTCCCCCTTGGCGCTTCCCAGGTGAGGACGAATGCCCATCCACCCTGCTCGCTCTTCGCTGATCGGAGCTGCAGCAGCTGACAGTCACCGATTGTCTGGTCACAATACCCCATTAAGGAGATGAAACACTGGATGCCTCAGATTGTAAAAATGCAGACAAATCCAACCTTTTACTCTTGTCACTACACTAAGGAAGCTGGAGGCTGGAGCTGTTCCTACATTTGCCATCTTGGTGCGCCCCCTCTATCTTAGTTGTTCTTTATTTGCCTTTTTCTTAAATGTCATCTAGAGGACACATAGTATTCAGATGTTCAATATTAGAAATAGTTTGTGGTCTTTATTTAAGAAGTGATGATATTTGTGATCTAAAATTAATACCATAGAAACTAACTCCTTGTTTAGATCAATTTAGCCTGTGGTAAGTGGGTTTCTCTTAGACTTTGTAAATTATTTGTAGACCAAAAATTGAAGCTTCATTTGATACCATTTCAAATTCTGCAGACTTTCAAAGTTGCCTTTTTTATAGTTTAAAAAATTTTTAATTTTTTCATATTTTTTGTGTCATGAAATTAGTATATTCACAAATGTTTTTTAATTAAAAGTTTATATTATGCATGTCTACATAAAAACACATGGACTGAAAAATATAAGTTATACATGATTTTATATAAAGTTTTAAAAAGTACCTCTTCAAAGCCAGTGCTGTAAACAATAACTTTTAGACCATTACTATTAAAGTGTAACTTTTTCTCACATCAGCTTTCTAATGTATTGATCTTTTTCTTTTTGTTGTTTTTAAAAATAGGCATGTCGGCGTCAGTGTTCGTTTCGGAAATAACCTTTCAGATGCTATACAAGTGTTGGATGAAGGGTGCTTTACTACTCCAGCTTCTTTGAATGGATTAGAGATAATATGGGCAGAATACAATCTGGCTCAGGAGAAGATTAAAACTTGTGAATATGTGGTTAGTTGAGAATTTTTCTCTATTATAGTTTTTATCTGTTGAACATAAGGAAATTTTTTTAAAAAAATTTCTTCTTAAAAAAAAAATAACAACAGGATACATGTGCAGAATGTGCCGGTTTGTTACATAGGTATACATGTGCCGTGGTGGTTTGCTGCACTTATTGACCTGTCCTCTAAATTCCCTCCCCTCACCCTCCCACCCCCCAATAAGCCCTGGTGTGTATTGCTTCCCTCTCTGTGTCCATGTGTTCTTAATGTTCAACTCCCACTTATGAGTAAAAACATGCGGTGTTTGGTTTTCTATTCCTGTGTTAGTTTGCCGAAGATGATGGCGTCCAGCTTCATCCATGTCACTGCAGAGGACATGAACTCATTCCTTTTTATGGCTGCATCGTATTCCATGGTGTATATGTAACACATTTTCTTTATCCAGTCTATTATTGATGGGCATTTGGGTTGGTTCCAAGTCTTTGCTATTGTAAATAGTGCTGCAATAAACATACTTGTGCATGTATCTTTATAGCAGGATGATTTATATTCCTTTGGGTGTATACCCAGTAATGGGATTGCTGGGTTGAATGGTATTTCTGGTTCTAGATCCTTGAGAAATTGCCATATCATCTTCCATAATAGTTGAACTAATTTACATTCCCACCAACAGTGTAAAAGTGTTCTTACTTCTCCACATCCTCTCCAGCATCTATTGTTTCCTGACTTTAATGATCGCCATTCTAACTGGTATGAAGTGGTATCCCTTTGTGGTTTTGATTTGCATTTCTCTGATGATTAGTGATGTTCAGCTTTTTTTCATATGTTTGTTGGCCACATAAATGTCTTCCTTTGAGAAGTGCCTGTTCATATCCTTTGCTCACTTTTTGATGGGGTTGTCTTTTTCCTGTAAATATGTTTAAGTTCCTTGTAGATTCTGGATATTAGACCTTTGTCAGATGGGTAAATTGCAAAAATTTTCTCCTGTTCAGGAGAACAGGTTGCCTGTTCACTCTGATGATAGTTTCTTTTGCTGTGCAGAAACTCTTTAGTTTAATTAGATCCCATTTGTCAATTTTGACTTGTGTTGCAATTGCTTTTGTTGTTTTTGTCATGAAGTCTTTGCCCATACCTATGTCCTGAACGCTATTGCCTAGGTTTTCTTCTAGGGTTTTTATATTTTAGGTTTTACATTTCAGTCTTTAATCCATCTAGAGTTAATTTTTGTGTAAAGTGTAAGGAAGGGGTTCAGTTTCAGTTTTCTGCATATGTCTCATTTTCCCAGCACCATTTACTGAATAGGAGATGCTTTCCCAATTACTTGTTTTTGTCAGGTTTGTCAAAGATCAGATGGTTGTAGATGTGTGGTGTTATTTCTGGGGTTTCTATTCTGCTCCATTGGTCTGTATGTCTGTTTTGGTACCAGTAGCATGCTGTTTTGGTTACTGTCACCTTGTAGTATAGTTTGAAGTCAGGTAGCATGATGCCTCCAGCATTCTTCCTTTTGATTAGGATTATCTTGGTTATAAGAGGTCTTTCTTTGATTTCATATGAAATTTAAAATAGTTTTTCCTAATTCTTTGAAGAATGTCAGTGGTAGCTTGATGGGAATAGCATTGATTCTATAAATTACTTTGGGCAGTATGGCCATTTTCATGATCTTGAGTCTTTTTCTATCCATGAGGATGGAATATTTTTCCATTTGTTTGTGTCCTCTCTTATTTCCTTGAGCAGTGGTTTGTAATTCTTCTTAAAGAGGTCCTTCACATCCCTTATTAGCTGTATTCCTAGGTATTTTATTCTTTTTGTAACACTTGTGAGTGGGAGTTCATTCATGGTTTGGCTCTTTGCTTGCCTATTGTTGGTGTGTAGGAATGATTGTGATTTTTGCACATTTACTTTGTATCCTGAGACTTTGCTGAAGTTGCCTATCATTTCAAGAAGATTTGGGCTGAGACGATGGGGTTTTCTAAATATAAAATCATGTCATCTGCAAACAGACAACTTGTCTTCCTCTCTTCCTATTTGAATACCCTTTATTTCTTTCTCTTGCCTGATTGCCCTGTCCAGAACTTCCAATACTCTGGTGAATAGGAGTGGTGAGAGAGGGCATCCTTGTCTTGTACTGGTTTTCAAAGGGAATGCTTCCAGCTTTTGCTCATTCAATTTGAGGTTGTGGGTTTGTCATAAATTACTTTTACTATGTTGAGATATGTTCTGTCAATACTTAGTTTGTTGAGAGTTTTTAACATGAAGCGATGTTGAATATTATCAAAGCCCTTTCTGCGTCTATTGAGATAGTCATGTGGTTTTTGTCATTAGTTCCATTTATGTGCTAGATTACATTTATTGATTTGCATATGTTGAACCAGCATTGCATCCCAGGGATGAAGCAGAGTTGATCGTGGTGGATAAGTTTTTTGATGTGCTGCTGGTTTCAGTTTGTCAGTATTTTATTGAGGATTTTTGCATCGATGTTCATCAGGGATATTGGCCTGAAGTTTTCTTTTTTTGTTGTGTCTCTTACCGGTTTGGATATCAGAATAATGCTGGCTTCATAAAATGAGTTAGGAAGGAGTCAGTCCTTTTCACTTGTTGGGAATAGTTTCAAAAGGAGTGGTACCAGCTGTCCTTTGTATCTCTGGTTGAATTCAGCTGTGAATCTGTCTGGTCCTAGGCTTTTTTTGTTTGGTGGACTGTTAATTACTGCCTCAATTTTAGAGTTTGTTATCGGTCTATTCAGGGATTCAACTTCTTCCTGGTTTAGTCTTGGTAGGGTGTAGGCATCCAAGAATTTATTCATTTCCTCTAGATTTTCTAGTTTTTTTGTGTAGAGGTGTTTATAGTATTCTCTGAAGGTAGTTGGTATTTTTGTGGGGTCAGTGGTGATACCCCTTTAACATTTTTTATTGAGTCTATTTGATTCTTCTCTCCTTCTTTATTAGTCTAGCTAGTGGTCTATTTTGTTAATTTTTTCAAAAAAAACCATCCTGGATTCATTGATTTTTTTGGAGGGTTTGTGTGTGTGTGTGTGTGTTTCTATCTCCTTTAATTCTTCTCTGATATTATTTCTTGTCTTCTGCTAGCTTTTGGGTTCGTTTACTATTGCCTTTCTAGTTCTTTTAATTGTGATGTTAAGGTGTTGATTTGAGATCTTTCTAGCTTTCTTATGTGGGCATTTAGTGCTATAAATTTCTCTCAACACTACTTGAGCTATGTCCTAGAGATTCTGGTAGATTGTCTCTTTGTTCTCATTGGTTTCAAAGAACTTCTTGATTTCTGCCTTAATTTGATTATTTACCCTGGAATCATTCAGGAGCAGGTTGTTCAATTTCCATGAAATTATGTGGTTTTGAGTGAGCAATACTAACCTTAAATGTAAATGGGCTAAATTCCCCAATTAAAAGACACAGACTGGCAAATTGGCTAAGTGGTCAAGACTCACAGGTGTGCTGTATTCAGGAGACTCGTCTTCCACACAAAAACACATACAGGCTCAAAATAAAGAGATGGAGGAAAATTTTCCAAGCAAATAGAAATCAAAAGAAAGCAGGGGTTGCAGTCCTAGTCTCTGACAAAACAAACTTTAAATCAACAAAGATAAAAAAAGACAAAGAAGGGCATTACATAATGGTAAAGGGAACAGTTCAACAAGAAGAGGTAACTATTGTGAATATTTATGCACCCAAGGAGCACCCAGATTCATAAAACAAGTTCTTAGTGATCTACAAAGAGACTTAGACTCCCACACAATAATAATGGGAGACTTTAACACCCCACTGTCAGTATTAGATCAAGACAGAAAATTAACAAGAATATTCAGGACTTGAACTCAGTTCTGGATCAAGTGGACCTGTTAGATGTCTGCAGAACTCTCTACCCCAAATCAGCCGAACATACATTCTTCTCAGTGCCACTTGGCACTTATTCTAGAATCGACCACATAATTGGAAGTAGAACACTCTTCAGCAAATGCAAAAGAACTGAAATCATAGCAAACAGTGTCTCAGATCACAGTGTAATCAAATTAGAACTCAGGAAATGTTATCTTTCTAAAAAGAAAAGAAACTGCAGATATTATAATGATAGTTTATATAAAATCTTTAACTTTCACAGTATCTTCATATTAATAATTTGCTTCATTTATAGCGTTGTAAGAAAGGTGTAATAGACAACTGGTGATTGTGGATAAGGGGTAACAAAATCTTTTCCCCTTTTGCATGAAAACTTGACCTTTGGTTAACTCCCTGTCTTTGTTCCCTTGGTAATATGATAAAATATTTCAACACGATCACAGCACACTGCAGCCTCAACCTCCTGGCACCAAGTGATTCTCCCACTTCAGCTCATCAAGTAGCTAGGACTACAGGCGTGCACTACCAACCATGCCTGGCTAATTTTTTTGTACTTTTTGTAGTGATAGGGTTTTATCATATTGTCCAGACAGGTCTTGAACTCCTTGGCTCAAGTAATTCTCCTGCCTCGGCCTCCAAAGTCCTGGATTGCAGGTGTTAGCCACCATGCCCGGACCCTAGTTCTAAATGTTAATATGGAACTTGAACCCAGACATATCTGACAGCAAAGTCCTG